GTGGTACAACAACAGTGACAGTGGTAGTGGAAGGACAGTCTTGTGGTACAATTACAGTGACAGTGGTGGTGGAAGGACAGTCTTGTGGTACAATAACAGTGACAGTGGTGGTGGAAGGACAGTCTTGTGGTACAGCAACAGTGACAGTGGTGGTGGAAGGACAGTCTTGTGCTACAACAACAGTGACAGTGGTGGTGGAAGGACAGTCTTGTGGTACAACAACAGTGACAGTGGTGGTGGAAGGACAGTCTTGTGGTACAACAACAGTGACAGTGATGGTGGAAGGACAGTCTTGTGCTACAACAACAGTGACAGTGATGGTGGAAGGACAGTCTTGTGCTACAACAACAGTGACAGTGGTGGTGGAAGGACAGTCTTGTGCTACAACAACAGTGACAGTGGTGGTGGAAGGACAGTCTTGTGCTACAATAACAGTGACAGCGGTGGTGGAAGGACAGTCTTGTGCTACAATAACAGTGACAGTGGTGGTGGAAGGACAGTCTTGTGGTACAACAACAGTGACAGTGGTGGTGGAAGGACAGTCTTGTGGTACAACAACAGTGACAGTGGTGGTGGAAGGACAGTCTTGTGGTACAACAACAGTGACAGTGGTGTGGAAGGACAGTCTTGTGGTACAACAACAGGACAGTGGGGGTTTGGAAGGACAGTCTTGTGTACAACAACAGTGACAGTGGGGTGGAAGGACAGTCTTGTGCTACAATAACAGTGACAGTGGTGGTGGAAGGGACAGTTTTGTGCTACAATAACAGTGACAGCGGTGGTGGAAGGAAGTCTTGTGGTACAACAACAGGGGACAGTGGTGGTGGAAGGACAGTCTTGTGGTAAAAACAACAGTGACAGGGGTGGGGGAAAGGGGACAGTCTTGTGGTACAACAACAGTGACAGATGGTGGAAGGACAGTCTTGTGGTACAACAACAGTGACAGTGATGGTGGGAAGGACAGTCTTTTTGGTACAATAACATGACATGTGGTGGTGGAAGGACGTCTTGTGGTACAACAACAGTGACAGTGGTGGTGGAAGGACAGTCTTGTGGTAAAACAACAGGAAAAGTGATGGTGGAAGGACAGCCCTTGTGCTACAAAAACAGTGACAGTGGTGGTGGAAGGACAGTCTTGTGGTACAACAACAGTGACAGTGGTGGTGGAAGGACAGTCTTGTGCTACAACAACAGTGACAGTGGTGGTGGAAGGACAGTCTTGTGCTACAACAACAGTGACAGTGGTGGTGGAAGGACAGTCTTGTGGTACAACAACAGTGACAGTGGTGGTGGAAGGACAGTCTTGTGCTAAAACAACGTGACAGTGGTGGTGGAAGGACAGTCTTGTGGTACAATAACAGTGACAGTGGTGGTGGAAGGACAGTCTTGTGCTACAACAACAGTGACAGTGGTGGTGGAAGGACAGTCTTGTGCTACAACAACAGTGACAGTGGTGGTGGAAGGACAGTCTTGTGCTACAATAACAGTGACAGTGATGGTGGAAGGACAGTCTTGTGGTACAACAACAGTGACAGTGGTGGTGGAAGGACAGTCTTGTGCTACAACAACAGTGACAGTGGTGGTGGAAGGACAGTCTTGTGCTACAATAACAGTGACAGTGATGGTGGAAGGACAGTCTTGTGGTACAACAACAGTGACAGTGGTGGTGGAAGGACAGTCTTGTGGTACAACAACAGTGACAGTGGTGGTGGAAGGACAGTCTTGTGGTACAACAACAGTGACAGTGGTGGTGGAAGGACAGTCTTGTGCTACAATAACAGTGACAGTGGTGGTGGAAGGACAGTCTTGTGCTACAATAACAGTGACAGCGGTGGTGGAAGGACAGTCTTGTGGTACAACAACAGTGACAGTGGTGGTGGAAGGACAGTCTTGTGCTACAACAACAGTGACAGTGATGGTGGAAGGACAGTCTTGTGCTACAATAACAGTGACAGTGGTGGTGGAAGGACAGTCTTGTTGCTACAATAACAGTGACAGCGGTGGTGGAAGGACAGTCTTGTGGTACAACAACAGTGACAGTGGTGGTGGAAGGACAGTCTTGTGCTACAACAACAGTGACAGTGATGGTGGAAGGACAGTCTTGTGCTACAATAACAGTGACAGTGGTGGTGGAAGGACAGTCTTGTGCTACAATAACAGTGACAGTGGTGGTGGAAGGACAGTCTTGTGCTACAATAACAGTGACAGTGGTGGTGGAAGGACAGTCTTGTGCTACAATAACAGTGACAGCGGTGGTGGAAGGACAGTCTTGTGGTACAACAACAGTGACAGTGATGGTGGAAGGACAGTCTTGTGGTACAACAACAGTGACAGTGGTGGTGGAAGGACAGTCTTGTGCTACAACAACAGTGACAGTGGTGGTGGAAGGACAGTCTTGTGGTACAACAACAGTGACAGTGGTGGTGGAAGGACAGTCTTGTGGTACAACAACAGTGACAGTGGTGGTGGAAGGACAGTCTTGTGGTACAACAACAGTGACAGTGATGGTGGAAGGACAGTCTTGTGCTACAATAACAGTGACAGTGGTGGTGGAAGGACAGTCTTGTGCTACAACAACAGTGACAGTGGTGGTGGAAGGACAGTCTTGTGGTACAACAACAGTGACAGTGATGGTGGAAGGACAGTCTTGTGCTACAACAACAGTGACAGTGATGGTGGAAGGACAGTCTTGTGGTACAACAACAGTGACAGTGGTGGTGGAAGGACAGTCTTGTGCTACAACAACAGTGACAGTGGTGGTGGAAGGACAGTCTTGTGGTACAACAACAGTGACAGTGATGGTGGAAGGACAGTCTTGTGGTACAACAACAGTGACAGTGGTGGTGGAAGGACAGTCTTGTGGTACAACAACAGTGACAGTGGTGGTGGAAGGACAGTCTTGTGGTACAACAACAGTGACAGTGGTGGTGGAAGGACAGTCTTGTGGTACAACAACAGTGACAGTGGTGGTGGAAGGACAGTCTTGTGGTACAATTACAGTGACAGTGATGGTGGAAGGACAGTCTTGTGGTACAACAACAGTGACAGTGGTGGTGGAAGGACAGTCTTGTGCTACAACAACAGTGACAGTGGTGGTGGAAGGACAGTCTTGTGCTACAATAACAGTGACAGTGATGGTGGAAGGACAGTCTTGTGGTACAACAACAGTGACAGTGATGGTGGAAGGACAGTCTTGTGCTACAACAACAGTGACAGTGGTGGTGGAAGGACAGTCTTGTGCTACAATAAACAGTGACAGTGATGGTGGAAGGACAGTCTTGTGCTACAACAACAGTGACAGTGGTGGTGGAAGGACAGTCTTGTGCTACATAACAGTGACAGTGATGGTGGAAGGACAGTCTTGTGCTACAACAACAGTGACAGTGGTGGTGGAAGGACAGTCTTGTGCTACAATAACAGTGACAGTGATGGTGGAAGGACAGTCTTGTGCTACAACAACAGTGACAGTGGTGGTGGAAGGACAGTCTTGTGCTACAACAACAATGACAGTGGTGGTGGAAGGACAGTCTTGTGCTACAATAACAGTGACAGTGGTGGTGGAAGGACAGTCTTGTGCTACAACAACAGTGACAGTGATGGTGGAAGGACAGTCTTGTGCTACAACAACAGTGACAGTGGTGGTGGAAGGACAGTCTTGTGGTACAATAACAGTGACAGTGATGGTGGAAGGACAGTCTTGTGCTACAACAACAGTGACAGTGGTGGTGGAAGGACAGTCTTGTGCTACAATAACAGTGACAGTGATGGTGGAAGGACAGTCTTGTGCTACAATAACAGTGACAGTGATGGTGGAAGGACAGTCTTGTGCTACAATAACAGTGACAGTGATGGTGGAAGGACAGTCTTGTGCTACAACAACAGTGACAGTGATGGTGGAAGGAGAGTCTTGTGGTACAACAACAATAAAGATCTTCAGACAACAACAATGGGTGAGTGGTGGCTCCATCACATTAGATCCTTCAAGAGGTTAAGTATTACACTTATGAGGTTACGAAACTGCTTAAAAGTAACATAAAACTTAGAGAGGAAGGTTTCGATGATGTTTCGATATATCCTGGACAAAGTGACGATGCGAAGCACCGTTCAAAGTCTCCATTGTAAAGTTTTAGGTTGCTGTCAATTATAGCAGCCAGGGTCTCGGCGATTTTAATATTCACATGAATGAGATAAGATATGATTTGTTCGTATTTTTAACCTGGAGGTTTATCCACCCAGGATAACCCTAGAAAGTCTTATTTCCGTTGGGGTCCCTCAATCTTGTCTCCCAGGATGCGACCCACACCAGTCGACTAACACCCAGGTACCTGCTTACTGCTAGGTGAACAGGGACAACAGGTGTAAGAAAACAGGGGATCGAACACTCAGTATGTGAGGTGAGAGCGTTGCCTGCCAAGCCACGGGACTGTGTGAACCATTAGCTAAGATCTACAACTAGTCGCTGGATACTGGACAATTCTCAAACATCTGGAAAACACCGAATACGGTCCCAATATTTAAGACAAAAAGAAAGGAATCCTTGAATTAAAGGCCACTTTGCCAAAGGACAAGAGAGCCGGGTGCCCGTCGGTGTGGGCAGGGCACCTCGCACCCAGGGCATAACCCAAGATGGAGATTATTCGTCTTAAAATGAAATCAAACTTGGGTTCACCCGCAACGTTCAGCTTCCCTTCTCTGTATGAAAGTTTAACAGCGAGAACCAAAGCTACGTGTCTTCCCTGTCAATTTCCACCACGCAGGATGGATTCCAAGCATAAGGTGTTGAAATTTCTCAGCTTGAGCTGGTAGACGTGAGAACGACAAGAGAGAGTGGAAAGATGAAGCCTAACATTCTTTTATAGAGAATTACATTGTGAAATATGCTGGATAAGAGAGTTAATATAACTCGCAAGATAATCCTAATGCCTTTGAACCATATTTAATTAAGCTAAGTTTATTTGGATAAATAAATATTTCTTTTTACAAAATATTTAATACTCTGTTTAGCAGAGTTTGAGTATAACAGCTCTTCCCTGGACCTTTTACATCTTCCTCTTAACAGTTATAGAATGTAGACATATATAACATCACTTTAGCCATAAGCATTGAATGGCTTAGATGGAGCTGGGTAGTTGTAGCCAGTGTTACAGTTGGGCTGGTAGGTGCTGGTGGCGGTCACAGTGTTGTACTGCGGCCTGTAGACAGTGGAGGTGACGTAGTTGGTGTTGTAGATGGTCGTAGTCTGGTATTGTGTACGAGTCTGACCTGGCAGCTGGACAGTACTGACGAAGGTCCTGGTGACGGTGACGTATTGTGTCTGGGCCGGAAGGTTCACAACAGATGGCACCACTTGTTGAGTGTAGATGGTTGTGGGCACCACCTGTGTTGATACCTGGGTACTCACTACTTGCTGTGGTACCGTTACTGTCCTGGTAATATACTGCGGCACTTGCTGTGTACGGACTAGGGTAGACACCACCTGTTGTACTTGGGTACGTGTCACGTACTGTGTCTGGGTGTTAGTGAGAACCACCTGGGAGAAGATGGTGGTAGTGACGGGTACCACCTGGGTGGAAGTAATAACTCGGGTCTGACCTGGCTGAGTGATGGTCTGAGTGACAACGTTGGTGCGGATAACTTGAGTTGTACTAACTACGTCCTGAGCGGGTACCACTATGGTGGAGTAGATGGTACTGTACTGAGTACTGTCCACTGTACGGGTCTGTCCTGGGACCTGCTGGGTTCTGGTCACATACTGTGTCTGGTAGATTGTGCTGACTACCTGTTGAGGAACTACTAATGTCGACACCACATTCCTGATAATTGTTGTTGGTACTTGCTGGATGCGGGTCGAGTATACAGTCTGATACTGAACTTGTGTCCTCACGTCTTGTTGCGTCTGAGTGACGTAGTTGATCTGAGGAGGCAGAGTTACGACCTGTGTGCGGACGTTGTCCTGGGTGCGTGTGACGATCACTGTCTGGTACTGGACGGACGGAACCACTTGTGTGCGGACGATCTCGGAGTAGACAGTGGTGTAGACCTGCTGTGTGCGGAAAGACGTCTGAGTGACGTACTGCACGTTAGTGTTGTAGACGGTGGTAGGGATGACCTGGGTGGAGTACTGCGTCTGTGTACGATAGACGGTAGACGGCTGACAGGGTTGTGGAGGTGGTGGGGGAAGGTACCCACCACCTGAGGATGACTGTAGACTGTTACCTAGAAGTTCTCTCCGTTGTCGATCCAGCGAGACAGCAAGTGCACAACCCACCAGCAACGACAGGACCACCACCTTCATTCTGTTACAGAAAACTATACATAAATACACGAAAATAAAGCTAAATGTTGTCTTAAAAAAAATCGTCCTACGAGCGAAAGATAATTTGTCAACATACTGAGAGAGAGTAGCAATTCAGTGTAGAAAATAATCAAACAACGAGAAGTTAAAACTTACCATTAACCATTTCAGAAAACTAATAAAATGTATTTTATTAAAAAAATGTCTTTTTATGTAAATTATATTTAACAAATACATTTCTGCTTTAATATACATGTATTAAAAATGATTGATTCATGTTTATGTGAATGTTGAACATGTTCTCATGACGCACTTGTTTACAAAGAATTGTTCAGTTTGTTCACATTCTTCTGGTGGTTCACCAGCACTGTAGTTTATGTATGAGGAAGAATTTTGTATTTATTTGCCATAATTAAAAGGAGTTGGAGGAGGGTTGTAGTTGTATCCTGTCTTGCCACAGGTGGCTGTGATGGTCTGTGTGACGGTGACCTGCTGGGGCTGGTTGACGGTCTGATAGACCACCTGTTGTTGTTGCTGGGTCTGAGCCACCTGTTGGGTCACCACACGGTCCTGGCCAGGCACTTGCACCACTGAGGTTCTGGTTTCTTCACGTGTCTGGTACACAGGAGCGGGAGTGACGTACTGGGTCTGGACCACGGTCTGTACCTGAGTGAAGGGCTGAAATCTGGTCTCGTAGATGGTGGTGTAGATGATGTTGGGTACGACCTGCGTACTTACGACCTCCTGAGGAACTACCTGCGTGCTGATCAATGTCTGAGTGACAAAATTGGTCCTGATCACCACCTGCTCGCGAGTTGTGTAAGCTGTTTCATAACGGGTGTTGACAGAAGTATAAGGGATGACCTGTTGACGTTGAACAAAACTGGTCCTGATATCATCTCGTCCACGAACGACGCTGGTCTGCACTACTTGTTGTACACGCGTCGACGTCACATAACGTGTATTGGCTGGCTGTTGACGCCTCACAATGGAGGTTTGAACGACGGTCTGGACACGCGTCCGTACTACGTCAGGGCCTGGGATTGGCACCACTTGGGTCTGCTGCTGTATTTGTGTCTGGTAGTTTGTCACGGGCTGATTGATGGTTTGCACCTGTGTGCGAGTCACCTCCACAGGTATTACCTGTGTTTGCACCTGTGTGCTAGTGATGTAGCTGACCTGTGGCACAACGCGAGTTGACGTAACGTAAACAACTTCTTGACGAGGTGGGCTTGGGATAGTTTGAGTCACAATTCTGTCATTAAAAAAGGTGGTTGTACGCTGGATCACACTGGTCTGGTACTGGACCTGAGTTTGGACGCGAGTCTGGAAGACGGTAGTTGGTATGACCTGTTGTCTGACCAGGGTGGTGGTGATGTACTGTGTGTTGATCTGGTTCACTGTTTGAACGTTGATAGAAGTCTGAACTCGTTTGTCGTAGATCACCGAGGTAATGGGAGCGACCTGACAACTCGGGTAGGTTGGAGGAGGTGGTAGATAAGCATTGTTGGGTGGAGAGTAGTTATACCCCTGAGGGGACGCTGAGGTCCAGGGCATTGTCGCCACCAGCAGCGTCGCCGTCAAGCGCCACATCCTGCAAAGAGAAATTCCACAGGTTAGAACAGCGGTGATTGGAACCCCCGCGTCTCGGCAACTCATTTGGGAATAAAGTCCAATCACGCGCCGCTCCCTCTGTGCAATTTCTCTATGCTTTGTGGGCTGACCCGAGAGGACTTTATCGCCCAGATGAGCCGCGAGGCGCTGACCTGGTTTTTGAGTTAACACTAAAAACACCAATCATAAAATGTTCCACCAGTGATGCATATAACATTCCCTTTCTTTCGAAAACCTCAGTAGTATAGCACACACACACACACACACACACACACACACTCACACACACCACACACACACACACACACACACACACACAAATATATATATATATATATATATATATATATATATATATATATATATTTATTTTTTTATTAACACACTGGCCGATTCCCACCAAGGCAGGGTGGCCCGAAAAAGAAAAACTTTCACCATCATTCACTCCATCACTGTCTTGCCAGAAGGGTGTTTTACACTACAGTTTTTAAACTGGAACATTAACACCCCTCCTTCAGAGTGCAGGCACTGTATTTCCCATCTCCAGGACTCAAGTCCGGCCTGCCGGTTTCCCTGAATCCCTTCATAAATGTTACTTTGCTCACACTCCAACAGCACGTCAAGTATTAAAAACCATTTGTCTCCATTCACTCCTATCAAACACGCTCACGCATGCCCGCTGGAAGTCCAAGCCCCTCGCACACAAAACCTCCTTTACCCCCTCCCTCCAACCTTTCCTAGGCCGACCCCTACCCCGCCTTCCTTCCACTACAGACTGATACACTCTTGAAGTCATTCTGTTTCGCTCCATTCTCTCTACATGTCCGAACCACCTCAACAACCCTTCCTCAGCCCTCTGGACAACAGTTTTGGTAATCCCACACCTCCTAACTTCCAAACTACGAATTCTCTGCATTATATTCACACCACACATTGCCCTCAGACATGACATCTCCACTGCCTCCAGCCTTCTCCTCGCTGCAACATTCATCACCCATGCTTCACACCCATATAAGAGCGTTGGTAAAACTATACTCTCATACATTCCCCTCTTTGCCTCCAAGGACAAAGTTCTTTGTATCCACAGACTCCTAAGTGCACCGCTCACCCTTTTCCCCCTCATCAATTCTATGCTTCACCTCATCTTTCATAGACCCATCCGCTGACACGTCCGCTCCCAAATATCTGAATACATTCACCTCCTCCATACTCTCTCCCTCCAATCTGATATCCAATCTTTCATCACCTAATCTTTTTGTTATCCTCATAACCTTACTCTTTCCTGTATTCACTTTTAATTTTCTTCTTTTGCATACCCTACCAAATTCATCCATCAACCTCTGCAATTTCTCTTCAGAATCTCCCAAAAGCACAGTGTCATCAGCAAAGAGCAACTGTGACAACTCCCACTTTATGTGTGATTCTTTATATTTTAACTACACGCCTCTTCCCAAGACCCTCGCATTCACTTCTCTTACAACCCCATCTATAAATATATTAAACAACCATATATATATATATATATATATATATATATATATATATATATATATATATATATATATATATATATATATATATATATATATATATAGAGGTGGTACTTCCCTATTATATATATATATATATATATATATATATATATATAATATATATATATATATATATATATAATATATATATATAATATATATTGTGTGTGTGTACGTGTGTGTGTTTGCTCGCGCGAATGCGTCATTTTCTCACGATTTTTAATATGTAATTATCCTGTGTTGTGTCAGATATCATTCAAGATGCTGCATATGGTAGAACCGTCTGCCAATTTTTCTTAGCAGTATATATTCAGAATCACTTGTGTTTTTCACATGTATTCAGAAGCATCTTCACTTGAAGTATGGATTTCATGATTTATGTTTCGCTCTTTCTTCCTGGGATCTCTTCCATTAAAATCGCATCAACGCCTTAAATATCTCTTCAAGTAGGTTGAAACGTTCACGTGATTGTTTATAGACACACACACACACACACACACACACACACACACACACACACACACACACACCACACACACACACACACACACACACATACAGAGGTGTTTCAAGGCCTTCTGGGGTTAGAATTCAGGGGTCTTTCTTTGCTCAAAGAAAACTGTGCTTCGAGGACACTTGTCTCTTGCAGATGACGCACTAAAGTTGCTACCGCCACTGGAAGCTTAAAAATATATAAATGTGTATAAAACAGTGAGGACAGGACACTATGAACATGGTTCTGTTTCTATAAACACTGGCAGGTTATCACTACGAAGTACTGAGACACGCGCAGCAGCGCTGTGACACAGGTACGTACTTGGTGTAGGTGGAAGAGGATTCACAGGCAGAAGTGTTCAGCGAGGTGAGTGACGGGAGTCTGACGTGGTGGCGGCAAACATTATGTTTTTATACGGAGGGTGGTGCTGGAGAAGGGGCGACGGGGAAGGACGCTCTCCCTAGGTAAAGGTTCCTGGATGGTGGGAGGGCTGCTGGCTCGCTCTGCTCATCATCAATTACCATTACGTGGGAGTGTTACTCACCGTTACCGGGAGTCATGGATTCTTCACCGTTGTTTGGTCTCATTTTGCATCGTTGTGGTGATGACGGGTCCTGTTTTTTTTAAGTATTACCGCCGTTACTGGGTCTGGTGAAGAGGTTCTTGATCGTTACTGGTTCTAGTGAGGGAGTTATTGGTCGCTATTGGTTCTTGTGAGGGGGGGTAATTGGTCGTTATTGGTTCTAACGAAGGGGTCTTGGTCGTTATGGGGTCTAATGAGGGGGTTCTTGGTCGTTGCTGTTTAGAGTGAGGGGGTTCTCAGTCGTTACTGGTTCTAGTGAGGGGGGTTCTTGTCGTTACTGGTTCTAGTGAAGGGGTTCTTGATCGTTACTGGTTCTAGTGAGGGGGTCTTGGTCGTTACTGGTTCTAGTGAGGGGGTCTTGGTCGTTACTGGTTCTAGTGAGGGGGTTCTTGGTCGTTACTTGTTCTAGTGAGGGTCTTAGTCGTTACTGGTTCTAGTGAGGGAGTCTTGGACGTTACTGGTCCTAGTGAGGGGGGTCTTGGTCGTTACTGGTTCTAGTGAGGGGGTTCTTAGTCGTTACCGGTTCTAGTGAAGGGGTTCTTGATCGTTTCTGGTTCTAGTGAGGGGGGGCTCTTAGTCGTTACTGGTTCTAGTGAAGGGGTTCTTGATCGTTACTGGTTCTAGTGAGGGGGGTTCTTGGTCGTTACTGGTTCTAGTGAGGGGGTACTTAGTCGTTACTGGTTCTAGTGAAGGGGTTCTTGATCGTTACTGGTTCTAGTGAGGGGGGTTCATGGTTCTTGCTGGCTCGCTCTGCTCATCATCAATTACCATTACGTGGGAGTGTTACCGTTACCGGGAGTCATGGGTTCTTCACCGTTGTTTGGTCTCATTTTGCATCGTTGTGGTGATGACGGGTCCTGTTTTTTTTAAGTATTACCGCCGTTACTGGGTCTGGTGAAGAGGTTCTTGATCATTATTGGTTCTAGTGAGGGGGTTATTGGTCGTTATTGGTTCTTGTGAGGGGGGTTATTGGTCGTTATTGGTTCTAACGAGGGGGTCTTGGTCGTTATGGGTTCTAATGAGGGGGTTCTTGGTCTTTAACTGGTTCTAGTGAGGTGGGTTTTTGGTCGTTACTGGTTCTAGTGAGGGGTTCTTAGTCGTTACTGGTTCTAGTGAGGGGGGTTCTTGGTCGTTACTGGTTCTAGTGAGGGGATCTTAGTCGTTACTGGTTCTAATGAGGGGGGTTCTTGGTCGTTACTGGTTCTAGTGAGGGGGTCTTGGTCGTTACTGGTTCTAGTGAGGGGGTTCTTAGTCGTTACTGGTTCTAGTGAGGGTCTTAGTCGTTACTGGTTCTAGTGAGGGGGTTTTGGTCGTTACTGGTTCTAGTGAGGGGGTCTTGGTCGTTACTGGTTCTAGTGAGGGGGTTCTTAGTCGTTACTGGTTCTAGTGAGGGGGTTCTTTATCGTTACTGGTTTCTAGTGAGGGGGGTTCTTGGTCGTTACTGGTTCTAGTGAGGGGGGTTCTTGGTCGTTACTGGTTCTAGTGAACGGGTTCTTAATCGTTACTGGTTCTAGTGAGGGGGGTTCTTGGTCGTTACTGGTTCTAGTGAACGGGTTCTTAATCGTTACTGGTTCTAGTGAGGGGGGTTCTTGGTCGTTACTAGTTCTAATAAGGGCGGGTTCTTCATATTTTTCACTTGATATTACTCATAGGTAGCGTGTATATGAGTTCGTCTGGAGCGTCACTCGGTGTCGTCTCCTGCGTCACAGTCACTGCTTCAGGCCTCTCCTTCCGCCTCCCTGTTAATTCACTTTCACCGTGACATTCGTTGTTACAAAAATTTCCCATACTGGACACCAGGCTGGTCTTCCAAGCTGCAACACTCCCACCATACACCAGGCTGGTCTTCCAAGCTGCAACACTCCCACCATACACCAGGCTGGTCTTCCAAGCTGCAACACTCCCACCATACACCAGGCTGGTCCTCCAAGCTGCAACACTCCACCATACACTGGCTGGTCCTCCAAGCTGCAACACTCCCACCATACACCAGGCTGGTCCTCCAAGCTGCAACACTCCCACCATACACCAGGCTGGTCCTCCAAGCTGCAACACTCCCACCATACACCAGGCTCGTCCTCCAAGCTGCAACACTCCCACCATACACCAGGCTCGTCCTCCAAGCTGCAACACTCCCACCATTACACCAGGCTGGGTCCTCCAAGCTGCAACACTCCTACCATACACCAGGCTGGTCCTCCAAGTTGCAACACTCCCACCATACACCTGACTGGTCCTCCAAGCTGCAACACTCCCACCATACACCAGGCTCGTCCTCCAAGCTGCAACACTCCCACCATACACCAGGCTGGTCCTCCAAGCTGCAACACTCCTACCATACACCAGGCTGGTTCTCCAAGTTGCAACACTCCCACCATACACCAGGCTGGTCCTCCAAGCTGCAACACTCCCACCATACACCAGGCTCGTCCTCCAAGCTGCAACACTCCCACCATACACCTGGCTGGTCCTCCAAGCTGCAACACTCCCACCATACACCAGGCTGGTCCTCCAAGGTGCAACACTCCCACGATACACCTGACTGGTCCTCCAAGCTGCAACACTCCCACCATACACCAGGCTGGTCCTCCAAGCTGCAACACTCCCACCATACACCAGGCTGGTCCTCCAAGCTGCAACACTCCGACCATCCACCAGGCTGGTCCTCCAAGCTGCAACACTCCCACCATCCACCAGGTTGGTCCTCCAGCTGCAACACTCCCACCATACACCAGGCTGGTCCTCCAAGCTGCAACACTCCCACCATACACCAGGCTGGTCCTCCAAGCTGCAACACTCCCACCATACACCAGGCTGGTCCTCCAAGCTGCAACACTCCCACAATACACCAGGCTGGTCCTCCAAGCTGCAACACTCCCACCATACACCAGGCTGGTCCTCCAAGCTGCAACACTCCCACCATACCAGGCTGGTCCTCCAAGCTGCAACACTCCCACCATACACCAGGCTGGTCCTCAAGCTGCACAACACTCCCACCATCCACCAGGCTGGTCACCAAGCTGCAACACTCCCACCATCCACCAGGCTGGTCCTCCAGCTGCAACACTCCCACCATACACCAGGCTGGTCCTCCAAGCTGCAACACTCCCACCATACACCAGGCTGGTCCTCCAAGCTGCAACACTCCCACCATACACCAGGCTGGTCCTCCAAGCTGCAACACTCCCACCATACCCCAGGCTGGTCCTCCAAGCTGCAACACTCCCACCATCCACCAGGCTGGTCCTCCAAGCTGCAACACTCAACCATAACACCAGGCTGGTCCTCCAAGCTGCAACACTCCCACCATACACCAGGCTGGTCCTCTAAGCTGCAACACTCCCACCATACACCAGGCTGGTCCTCCAAGCTGCAACACTCCCACCATACACCAGGCTGGTCCTCCAAGCTGCAACACTCCCACCATCCACCAGGCTGGTCCTCCAAGCTGCAACACTCCCACCATCCACCAGGCTGGTCCTCCAGCTGCAACACTCCCACCATCCACCAGGCTGGTCCTCCAAGCTGCAACACTCCCACCATACACCAGGCTGGTCCTCCAAGCTGCAACACTCCCACCATACACCAGGCTGGTCCTCCAAGCTGCAACACTCCCACCATCCACCAGGCTGGTCCTCCAAGCTGCAACACTCCCACCATACACCAGGCTGGTCCTCCAAGCTGCAACACTCCACCATCCACCAGGCTGTCCTCCAAGCTGCAACACTCCCACCATACACCAGGCTCGTCCTCCAAGCTGCAACACTCCCACTATACACCAGGCTGGTCCTCCAAGCTGCAACACTCCCACCATACACCAGGCTGGTCCTCCAAGCTGCACACTCCCACCATACACCAGGCTGGTCCTCCAAGCTGCAACACTCCCACCATACACCAGGCTGGTCCTCCAAGCTGCAACACTCCCACCATACACCAGGCTGGTCCTCCAGCTGCAACACTCCCACCATACACCAGGCTGGTCCTCCAAGCTGCAACACTCCCACCATACACCAGGCTGGTCCTCCAAGCTGCAACACTCCACCATACACCAGGCTGGGTCCTCAAGCTGCAAACACTCCCACTATTCACCAGGCTGGTCCTCAAGCTGCAACACTCCCACCATACACCAGGCTGGTCCTCCAAGCTGCAACACTCCCACCATACACCAGGCTGGTCCTCCAAGCTGCAACACTCCCACCATACACCAGGCTGGTCCTCCAAGCTGCAACACTCCCACCATACACCAGGCTGGTCCTCCAAGCTGCAACACTCCCACCATACACCAGGCTGGTCCTCCAAGCTGCAACACTCCCACCATACATCATACAAGGACCCAAGTGGAAATAAGTCACTTTGACTTTTTGAGGTTACTCTATGTTATTTATACATGTGCTGCTGTGTATGATAACTTATGTAACGGTATTTATGTGTACCTGTACCTAAATGAACTTACTATCTGCTTGCTCGAGGATGACCATCAAGGATGACCATCAAGGATGACCATCAAGGGTGACCATCAGGGATGACCATCAAGGGTGACCAAGGATGACCATCAAGGGTGACCATCAAGGATGACCATCAAGGGTGACCATCAAGGATGACCATCAAGGGTGACCATCAAGGATGGCCATCAAGGGTGACCATCAAGGATGACCATCAATGATGACCATCAGGGATGACCATCAAGGGTGACCAAGGATGACCATCAAGGATGACCATCAAGGGTGACCATCAAGGGTGACCATCAAGGATGACCATCAAGGGTGACCAAGGATGACCATCAGGGATAACCATCAAGGGTGACCATCAAGGATGACCAT